GAGTCTGAGGAAATACGCTGTGGTTTGCAAACTGAATTCCTTAATGACTTTCTCATTAGAAGAGCTGACTGCCAAATGCTGTTTGTGCTTGCCTAAAGGACGGTCTGCATGATTGAGAGTAGCTCTGCTTTACATGAAGCATTGTTTTCAGGCCACCACCACAGGCAGCTGCTTCTCACTAGGCAAGGGAAAGAGAAAGGAACGCGAGTGAGCGCACAGAGCAATCAAATGACACGGGAACCCATGAGATTTCCCATCCCAAATCCCCGCTGCCACAAGGGCTAATGTCCGCGCGGGTGCTGCGTGGTGCTAAAAGCTGAGGTGGGGTCTGGCTCTCCCGGCAAGGGGCAGCCCAGCTGGGAAGGCCGAATTCCAGAGCAGCTCTGCTGTGAAAATATTTCCTGTGAGAATGCGCAAGCCTGAGAAACCGGGAGCAGCAGTGGGGATGGATTTTTTTTGCCTAGCACATCCATTTCAAGAGTAAACCTCTAAATGGACATCTTGTTGTTGGAGAGCGGTGATGAGACAGTGCACCTCAGCTGTGGCAAATGGGCAAAGAATATTCTTCTACCCTTTGCTTTCCCCCAGCTGTCAGAATGTATGCCCAGCTGTACTTCTCCTGCATTTTCTTATTTCCGTGTTTTTCTGATCCCATAAATTTTAACCTATGCACGAAGTAAAACTGGTCGAAAAATGTTATTGCAAAGGTTTAGAATTTATTTGCTGCACACAGTCAAAATCTAGCTTCTTGTGCACAAAAGTTCAGATTCAAACTCAGCTCCTTATCCTTAACTTTCTATTTTTAACAGAGACCACGACTCATTGTTTCCAGAGTAGGGATTTGGAAAATATTCTGAGATTTCATTTGCTAATATCTGGACAAACCGCTTGCATAAAAAGAGGCCTTTGGGAAAAAAAGGGCTTAAAGACAGACAGAAGAAGGGAATAGCTGAACATTCATTTAGGGTCTTCTCAAATCTCCAGTATTTAAGTTTTACAAAAAGAAAAAAGAAGGGATAGATTTTGGACCTGTAGCCAGTCATGAGTCTGCAAATGAGTAGTCTGTACCGCTTCTGGCTGATCTTTGTGTAAGAGATGAGAAAGAACTTGTCTGTGGGTCTCTGTGCTCCCACCATTTGCTTTGCCCTCTGCTGCATTTTCTATCCCTGAGAGTCTATGATTTCACTGTGTCCAGAAAGTGTTTGGATACAAGAGGGTGGAGCACTCACTGGTTGGTAGGGTCACACATAGGATATTTCATCCTCATTGAGTCAGTTCTGAACACTGTCGAGAATTTTTATATTTCCTTTTAGGTTTTTTTTGTCTTTGTCTTTGCAATAGAGCAGGCTGCACCGAAGACCAAGTGTATTTAGCAAGAACATTTCTTGGACATATTTGCAAAGCTACAGTCCATACCTCCTGGTTCTGCAGACAGTGTCTAACCCACAAGGCCACAGTGCCCGACCCTCTGCCAAGGCACCGAATCTCTCTTCATCCCTCTTAGCACATCTATAATTTGTGGCTAACAGGAGTGGTCTGTGCCCTCCTAATGCTTTATCACCTGCTTTTTCACTTCAAAGCACTTCTTAATGTGGATATACATTACTTACCCATTTCTACTGTTGACCTAAGCGTAGAAATTTGAAGCAATGCTTACACCTGGGGTACTGTGACTGGATTTCACCAGATGGGGTTTATGTTTCCAGCTTCTTGTGGCACTTTGCTTAAACTCTGAGCTCGGTGTCTGATATGGGGGGAAAAAAAGAGGTAAAATTTCTGGCTGCCTCCTTGGGGTTATGACTGCAGTTGCTGAAGCACTTGAGATATACAGGTACTAACAGTTTGCTGCAATGAGAGAGGAAGATTGAGGCTCAGTTCTGTACCCAGAAGGCTGAATGGATTCTGGAATCCCTTCAATCCCACCCAGCCTTTGAAGCAGGGGAAGGATTGGTTCCTACAATGCAAGGATATGGCAAGCATCTGGATTTGAACCAGTGAGGGAGGAGGCTAAGGGGTTCCAACAAGAATGAGATCTTCAGCTGGAGCTTGGAGATACCTAATTTCAAACATGTTATTTCATTCTCTAAGCACAAACATTTTTGCTCCACAATTTTTTTTTTCTCCCAGGTTCAATGGCAAAGCCCAGTGCTTTCAAAGAATGCCAGTTTTTGGGGCATGTGGCTTGTCCCTCCCTGCTTTGATTCTTGCCTGGGCCAGAATAAGGGACAAATGAGAAACTATTTTATTACACAGATACAAGGCACAAAGAAATGCTAGACACAGTCAGAGACAATCAAATAAGTGTATCTCTTTAATAGTTTATAAGAGAAAAAACCTGTGCTTCATTTAAAACATTAATTCTGACTTTTCAGTGATATTTTTCTTTAAGAATTTCCAAGAACTGGAGCTTATTTTGCTTCACATATTTAGTTATAACATGACATGAAATCACTGGAGCTTGACTTGCATATTTTATCCTATTCCCTGCTCTATAACACTAACAATAACATTCTCCATTTGGAACTACAGGCTTTCCTTTTTTACTATTTGTTATTTGTATGAGATGTATCTGGAATGCATGAAAAGAGGCAGAAATTGTGAAAATGGATAGGAGTGCATTTTATTTTATACTGAGTACTTCTGTATTTAAAGGGGAGATGGAAATTTGCCATGTAATGGATCTTAGCTATAGAGAATTATCATATTTCAATAGTAAAGTATTGCCTGTCTCGGCTCACACACACATCTTGACCTCAGAGCAGTTGCACATAATGTTTTCTCTGTCAAGAGAATCTATTCATAATGATGTGTCACAGGTGCTCACACATAATATGTTTCCCGTCAAAAGTGAGCATCCATATTTTATACAGCAGCTTTGATGACAAATATTTTGTACTTCAGCTGCTTTTTCATCCAACTGTCAGACTTAATGAAGGAAAGTCACAGATAGTTTTTAAATAATGTCAGCTTCTTAGATCACATTACTGTGTCTGCCTTTTAAAGTCATTTCATACAAGGGCCACAAGACAGGAGAGAGAGAGACAAGGACGTTTTCCTTTATTTAACATTAAAAAGAAAAAAATTCCCAGGCTCTTAATTTCAAAATCAGTAAGCTCTGTACCTTTGAAATATTTTCAGGAAAAAAAAGTGTTGTATTTTCTAAGTACTCAGTATTTTGAGAGTCTAATGAAAGCAAGTATGATAACTGAATTGGGGTTGCAATTTCTCACTATGTTGAACATCATTTATTCTCATAGTAGTGTCATGTCCTCATTGTAAGCACACTTTCACCTAGGCTGTGGTACAAAATGAGTGACTCAGTATGCACAGAAAATTGAGTTATTGTATTCTTACGGAAATTGTGCACAGCAAGGCCAAAGTTTGTACATCTCGTGTATGTCCAGCCCTACTGAAATAACCCTCATTCCTCATTTTATTAATGAAAGAGGAAGAGTGAACTTGAATTCCCTTTGAGGCTCTTCAGATCACAGGACTTGTCACTGAAACCTCGGAGTGCAGAGAAGTGTTTTTCCCATTCATGGGACATGTCTTTTCTGCTGAGAGTGTAAGTGAACAAAGTACAGAGGTGCTCCTGAACTTCCCTGCCAGGCAGCCCTCTCTGGAGCAGCAGGCAGTGGTGGCCCTCAATATGTACACCATGGACTCATATGGACTCCTGGTCTGCCTCCAAGGGCTCAGAAAGGAGCTGAAAAAACAAGTTAATTGTGTGTGCAAGCTATTTAGCAGTGTCTGAAGACCAAAATCAAATCAAAGTACTAAAATAGGCAATCACACCAAGGTATATGCATATTTATAAAATTATCACTGGCCTGAGGAAAAGGCAGATCAGGAAGCCAATAATATTAAAAAATATAAGTTACAAATGTAAATGAGGACTATATTTCTTCTATATATGAAATTTAACCAGATGTGTTAGGCTGAGAGATTAAAACTTGCACTTAAAAAAAAATGACCATTTTTTCATGATAGATGGCCAAAAAAAAGATGGGACACAGGGTCTGGAGTTACTTGATGCTTAATTATTTTTTTTTTAGTTTCAATTTATTTAAGAAAGCAAGCAAGAAGGAATTAAAAGTAGGTAACAACTTCTAAAGTACAGTAGGATGCAAAACTTTATTATCTGCCATTGAGAAGTAATACACTTCAGTGTGTATTCTGACACACAGTGTCAGTGTATCACACAGAAGATTAATGTCTGCTACTGAAAAGATAGTCTGCAACAGCATCCTCTTCCCTGCTATTCCCAAGCCCTTAAAGAAGTTAGGAGTGTAATAAATTTTGCTTTCCTTGTCTGAAGAATTAGAACAATTCAACTGAAAGGCAAATATAATCCTACCTATGCTATATGCTGAGACTAGAGCAGGGTAAATGCCACAGTTAAGTCTAAACATCAGGTTGTAATTGTTAGAGATTAAAAACATGCCAGAGAGAACATTCCAGAGAAAGAAGGAGGGTGAGAAGGATGGCTCTCCTGTGTCTTTTTTTTAAGGGAAAGTATCATCAGATCTTACAAGGGCATATTCCTGCACTGCAGAACTCAAATAAAATGGCATTTAATCAATGGTTGATCAACTAGGTTGACTTTTAATCATCCGACTAGGAAAAGCAAGTGAACATGAATTTACCTGCTGAGCAAAGTGCACACAAGGCAGAAAAGCCCCTGAAAACAGGGAAAAGAAAAACTAATGTTCTCTAGAATGCAATCTATTCCATGCAATCTATTTCAAAGATCATTTACTGTTGTCTGTTTCTGCAAGATGTAAAGATGTTAGCTGAGCTTCTCATTTTTATGCAAATGAAATAATTTCTGAAATGACAAGCCAGTTCATAAGAGACACAAGAAAAAAATGAAGCAATCTTTAAGAGCTGTCAGATGGATGGTCCACCCTTCCAAGTTCAGAGGAACCATTATTTCATGGTCTTGTTTAATGTATTGTTCTCTCACTCTTTGCTTTGTTTTTTAATTATTTTCTTCTCAGTGCATCCTAACGTGAGCCAGGGTTGCCAAGGAGGGTGTGCTACATGCTCTGACTACAACGGATGCCTGTCATGTAAGCCCAGGCTCTTTTTTGTTCTGGAGAGGATTGGCATGAAACAGATTGGAGTATGTCTTTCCTCGTGTCCAAGCGGATACTATGGGACACGGTATCCCGACATTAATAAGTGTGCAAGTAAGTGCTGGGGAAAGGGGAAGCACATGGATTTGTTTCTTTTCTCTTGAATGCTGTGTCTCCTCAGGAGTCAGTCAACAGAGAAGGCCGTGTCCTTATTTGTTCAGTTCTTTGTGGTAGTGCAGTAAATGTTAACAGAAGCAAGTAGTTAAAGACCAAAAAATGGCCTAAAGCTTGGGGATCCTGGCTCTGCATGAATGACCTGCCTAGAACCCAGGTGATGGCCTCCTCCTCCTCCTCCTCACATCCCCATGTGACGAGGAAGTGCCACTGGGCACCAGGCACTGGCCTCCAGAAGCAAGAGAATGCCAGCAGCTCTGAAGGGAGAGAGAGGACTGAGGAGTACTGAATCTTGGTGGCTGGAGCTGTTTAACCCACTCCCCTTTCCCACCTGACTCCTGTGACAAGGAGAGAAGATGGCACGTGGCATTCTCTGGAAATGTGTTTTGCCCTGGTCTCTTCATAGCTTGTCTCATGCTCACTGCAGTCCTCTGAATGCCTGTAGAAGCTGGCCAGGCTTCAGCTGGCCACGTTTCAGCCTGATTTGGGGGAATTTATCAATTTGTGTTGTCTCTGGGTGGGGGATGGAGAAACCTACTCTATTCTTTACTGCTCAGGCAACATTTTGACCCCACTATAGATTTTTGAACCATAAATGAACTGGAAAAGATTGCAATGTCCTCCCCACTCCTCTATTTGTTGTTGAATTCACTGTTTTTAATCCCACAGGTGATATAAAAACATAAGAGCAATGGCCAAGAAACTCTCCCAGTTTTTACCTGGTAATAAAAGTTATTTAATGAATGGACCCCGGAGTAAAGTCTTACAGAGTAACTTGACACTGCAAAGTATTTGCTCGCTTTTTAGCAGTGTGTGGCCTTGCATATCAAACGTGAGCTGTGTCATACGTAAGGTTTTATGCATTTCTCTTAAAAAATTCTGAGAACTGGGAAATATATCAGCAGTGCCAGTTTGGGTACTCATCTAGACAATACATTAAATACTACAGAACGCCTGACTGAACATCAGGGAACCATTTAAAGAAAAAGAAAGATACGTTGATCAAAACCACTCCTAAGCAGATTCTAAATTCTGGCATATTTTTTTTCTCCTGGATGAATATTTTTTATCTCCTAAAGATAGGTGCTGTAGAGCCAATCCAGCACTTGTGTCCCATGGGGTTAATTAGTACCTATGTGGTGCCAGTGTAGGGCAGAAGAAGCACAGTGTTATTCTCGTGTGCTGTGCTCTGTCTGCCATTTGCATAGGTCTCTAGGAAGATTAGCAGTGTGAGGCTGTCCAGCATCAGGCCATCCTTTCTAAATTCTCACCCATGCCAGGGTCACTTGTGGCTGGTCTCACCCTGTGTACTGGCCAGGAAGAAAACCTAACATAATTTGCTTCTTTTGAGGATTGTCTGATATTGTTAGAATTGTGTGATTCTGGTATACATGAGAGAGCCCATGGCAGTTCATGGCAAAGAGCAACAACACTGTTGTTTACTGTTTGCATTTCAGAATGTAAAGCTGACTGTGATACCTGCTTCACCAGAAACTTCTGCACAAAATGTAAAAGTGGGTTTTACTTATACAGTGGAAAGTGCCTTGAAAAGTGCCCTGATGGGCTGGAAGCCAGCAACCACACAATGGAGTGCACCAGCATCGGTGAGTCTGGTCCCCATGTCCTGCCTCGTTTTCTCACAGGGGATGTGGGATCTAAGGAAGGCATGATCAGTTACAGCACCAGGGAAGTGCCACTTAAAATGAAAATGTTCTTCATAACAAGATGCATTCCTCAGCACAAAAAAACCCTCAAGGTATTTCCCAAGTCTGCCACTTCACAAGAGGCAGAAGCTTCTTTGTGTCCCACAAACACAGCCTTGATATTAAGGCCAATTCTGGCAGAGGAAGGACAGCCTGTTTGGTCTGCCCTGAGGTAGCAAGACATACATCTCTTGCTTGGTTACAGTGTTATGCAGCACCACTAACATCAACATTTCAAAATCCCTGAGTCAAATCCCACATGTAATTTAAAAAAGATTAAAATACTAATGGCTTTACTTTAGCTCCCTTGTACTACCTGAGCCTTCAAAGCATGTATGCAACATCATTTTGAAGCTTACCTTTTCAAAGCTCAAGGCTAGAAACTAATATATTAAGGGAACAGGCTCCCAAAAAAACCTCCAATCTCCAAAATGGTATATGTGCATAATCACCTGACTTCAGAAAATGAGGATTAAAGTAAAATACAAAATAGGGTGTCACTGACACTGAAGAAGTGAGACTGACATCATTGTGACTCACTGGCTGTGGAGAAAAGACCTGCTTTTGTATCTTCAGCCTCTGACTCAAAAGCTCCAATTATTCACACAAGGGCAATTTTGGAGGTCACCACACCTAACTGTCTGCTGCATCCCTCTGCCATGCCTCCAAATGAAAGAAGAACAAGTGATATATTTGCTTGTGAACAGCTGCAGCATCCCCCACCACAGGCACACTGAAGCTGTGGCAGGGTTCAGCTTATTTTAGTACTTTGGCTGTGAATTGTGGTGGCTGAGGGCTGTGAGCTGCAGTGCAAGTGGTAACCTCTTCAGCCACCAGCAACCAGGGAGCACTTAGGCACAGTCTGGCTGTGATGGAAATCTTCCCCACAATACCATGCACATAGCTCTCTCTGGCATTGAGTGTTTTGGAGGGGAAGTAATGCAGGAATAAAAATAATGTGCAGTAGTTTGGCATTTTCCTTCTCAAATAAGAAAGTGGTGATAGTGTAGTTCAGGTGGCAGTGTAGGCTTTTACAGTTTTATTTTCAAGAAAAGACTTTTGTCTTTGAAAGAAATTCAAGGGATCATCTTTGTTTCTTGATGGCCCTTTCCAACTGCTTTAGACTCAGCTCCTGTAACAAGGAGCCAGTATCAGATAGGAAAAGCCATTTAAAGCTATGGAGTAAAAACAGAACCTTTTTGTGCACATGAAGGCAAATTATTTTAACAGAAGAACTCCAGTGTAACATGAAAAAAATGACCCACATGACAATGGACCCACATGACACAGCCACCAGAGGAAGGCTCGGAGATTGCCCGAAGTCTGTTTTTTCTAGGTTTCAGAAAATTCAGAAGTAAATTCTGGATCTAGAAAGTCTTGGCTTACTAATTCCTCCTTATAGAGGAATCTTTCCTTCCTCAGTGGTGACTTATAATCTTAAGCAAGCAGTTGAACTTAAAGCAAATATATATATTTACTATCTTTTTTCAAGAGAAAGATAGTGAGATTGCATAAGAGAAGGATAGCTATCAAAAGCACATTGTTAGCCTTCCAAGGTCACTCCCATTTTTTGTTTACACTCTTTGGACAAGTGTAAAATGACATACCTTCTGACTCCCAATCAGTACAAGATGTACAATCACATCACTCTGGTTTAGAAAGGGTTAACCTGCCCCATTCTGAAAAGCTTGAAACCTCACACTGACCCAAATTCTCTTCTACTTTTCCCATTTCCAGCTTGTGTATGCTACAGATGATGGCTCTTTAGATGGCTGAAGACACTTGACTTCTAATGTATCATATTTTGATATGAGTTGGTCCTTTATAACTATCAATTTCCGAATTTCCACCTTTGAGACAAGCTGCAGCAGCTTGACCCAATGACTTTGCTCACCTTTCACACAGGCATGACCAAAGTTTATTCCACCAAAGCTAAAAGGATTCACACCTCCATTTAACCAAAGCAAAGTCAGAACAAACCCCAGTAACTGATTTCATTGAGAGCAGTTGTGCTGCTGCTGCCTTGTTTCAGGAATGGAATTACAAAACAGCTAGTAGAAAACAGTGACTGACATAATTACTTGACATTGTTTTGTGTTGTATATCCTTAACAGTCCAATTTCTGTCAATTCATTGCTGCAACTCACTACTGATTAATTCCATTAGTTTTGCCACCCTTTGGCTGATGCAGAATGAAAATAATGTACCATATGTATTCTGAATACAAAAATATATTGGTCAGGCTCAGTTTGTTCTATGTTTATTGCAGTGCACTGTGAAACTAGTGAGTGGAGTCCATGGAGCCCTTGCATGAAGAAAGGAAAAACTTGTGGTTTCAAAAGAGGAAATGAAGTAAGGGTCAGAGAGATCATACAGCATCCGTCAGCAAGGGGAAATCCTTGCCCAGCTACAACCGAGAGCAGAAAATGTATTGTACAAAGAAAGAGATGTCAGAAGGAAGGAAAAGGTACCAAGTTATCATCCTCATAATATGAGATTGATATTGTGTTTGTTTAATAATTCACACCTGAATTCTTAGACCTCCATTTCAGACTTCACCAAAGCTGCCATTGATGTGGTATTTTTTGGTCTGGAAAGAATTGTGCCTTTGCCTGCAGTAAATAAAATCCTAACACTGCTAAAAAATGTGCTCTGTGTGATCTAGAGAGGACAGGGTGGGCAGGAAGGGAAGGCACTTTGTCTCTCAATTCTGTCTGCTGAGAGTTGCCAAGATGAAAAGTTGCATTGTAGTGCTCAGAACAAAAAAATCCATTATAAAATGTTGTGGTGGGTGCTGTCTGTTTGGTATCAGGCAGCCAAGTTTCATACTTCAACAGAGAGATTACTCCAAACCAGTTCCTATTCCATGCTTCCCAACAAGTAAGATTTTAAGTCTTGTAAATGCAGAGCTGTGGTCTCTCACCCTGCCTGAACTCTTTCTACCAGCTCTGGCTGAACAACACAGCTTCATCCTGCCATCTGCATCTGGGTCATCAAGTCCCAGCATGGGAGAAAGACCACAGAGTTGCATGGCAGACAAGAAAAACTCCACTTGGTTTCACCCAAGAAGCAAAACTTCCAGCAAAACTGACCCTCCATGCAGAGCAGCTTATTGGACCTACTCCCCAGCATGGCAATGAGGGAATGGCATCACACATGTTAAGACTGGGAGATGCTTAAGAAGTCTATGAAATAATAATTTACACAAATTCCACCCAGCAGATACTGTTGTTTGTTTATTCACCTCTTCTTGCAGAGGCGAAGTTACTTGATCTGTCCTCAGTGAAGTTACTCTGGTTGACACAGGAGGAACTATGAAATATTTCCTTTTCTCCATTCCTCCAATTTTCTCTGTCCCTCCCATTTCCTCATCTCATCTATTTCTCCCTCTCCTCCCACCCATTTGAGGGTGAGTGGAAGGGTGGAGCAGCTGCCCCTCCATGTGAACATCTGTGAGGCAGCAGTAGCTGCTGGTACCAATAGCCCCCTGTTCCACTGCTAAATGATGGCCAGGGTTGCTGCAGGTGACCTATGGAAATGCTCAAGGGGCTTGGATCTTGTAACCCTTTTGAGAGTTCATTCTCTGGGGAATGAGAAGGGCAATAATGTTATTAGAGTACAAATGAGGGCCATGAAGATGGTGAAGGACCTCAAGGGGAAGTTGTATGAGAAGCAGCTGTGGTCACTGGATCTGTCCAGCCTGGAGAAGAGGAGATTGAGGGGAGACTCATTGCTGTCTGCAACTTTCTTGTGAAGGGAAGAGGAGGGGCAGACCCTGATCTCTTCATGCTGACCAGCAACAGGACCAAAGGGAATGGCCTGAAGCTGTGTCAGGGGAGGTTTAGGTTGGGGATCAGGAAAACGCTCTTCACCCAGAGGGTGACTGGACATTGGAAGAGGCTCCCCAGAGAAGTGGTCACCAAGCCTGACAGAGTTCAAGAAGCATTTGGACAATGCTCTCAAGCACATGGTGTGACTATTGGGGTGTCCTGCTCAAGGCCAGGAGTTGGACTTGGTGATACTTGAGTCCCTTCCAACTCAGCATACTCTCTGTTTCTGTGATTCTATGGTTAAAAGGAGGATCTTATGGACCAGATAGCTATGGGTGACTCCTCCTCACCCAAGAGCTGGGTAGATCTACTGATCTGTATGACACAGATGTCACCTCCTCCTCCTTGTGTCAGGCAGTGTCCCGAGGAGGTAGGGAGGTGTACCTCTGTCAAGGTCGCAGTCAAGACAACCTATTTACTGATTCCCTTTAGAAATCCTACAGATTTCTGTTCAAAATGTCTGTGCTTGCTTATGTTCCTACACAGTGGCACAACTTGAAACAGCCTCATTAGCCCACTGTAACTGGGGAAAGAGTCCATTTTTTTTTTCTGCCAAAGCCTAATCTTTATAGGCCTGAAAAAATATAGGACTGAACTGTAATTGTGGACTATAAAACTGGGGTTTTTTGAGGCGATGATATTGCATGTTTGCTTATAGCAATTTGGCAAACACTTCAGACTGGACAAGACATTTCTCTTTGAGAAATGCCTGCTGTTCCTGTGTAATAAGAACTTTAGAAGAAACTACTCACGTATTTTGCTATCCATTCTTATTTTATGGGATTTGAGCCAAACCATACTTGAAAAATACTGTGCACCACAAGAATTCGTTCACAATCATGAATCTTTTTCTTTTCTTCTTTTCTGCAATATGCATAAAGGTGGGCTTTTTTCCTTCTTTTAAGCAAGCCACAGCCTCTATTCTAGCCTGTTTTATGGTCAGTAGATGATTCCTTCAAAAGAGGAACCTGTGTTCCCACTCTGTCTGTGCCCTTGGGATTTGCATGCCTGTGTCCAAGAGACAATTTTTTATTTTTTATTTTTTTCCTGACATTCACCTTCTCAGTATTCACAGAAGTCCTTCCCATTCACATTCATTGCTTCAGGGAGGTGAACTTACTTAATTTTTTTTGGTAAAGAAAGATAATTCTTAATAAAATTGAGGAATATCACATATGAAACATCAGGTTAAAAGAGCTTCAAGGGATGAACAGTGACAAGCTAGGAAGGTAAGAATTAAGCTATAAGTTTTCCTTCCACTCCAACTGAAATGGGGAAACAAAGCTTTCCAACTTCATCTCCAGGCAACATGTCTTCCCTACTGCTACTGTCCCTTATTACACAAAAAGAAACTTCTATTCCCCTTTGAACAATAGAATAATTGCCCAAGAAAGCAAGCCAGGCTCTGTTCTTAAGGCTAGCTGTGCCCTGCCAGTGAGTGCAGAAGGAGGTGACAACAGAAACACTTGAAAGGAAAGGGAAAGTCAGTAAGTTTGTATTTACTGTTGAGAAATATTGAAAAGGGTCTTTTGCATTGTACAACTCCCTGTGGCCACTCAGGCATTGCTTTAGAGTTGAACTTCAATGGCATTGGCTTTTGAAGTGTTGCAGCAGACCCGGCAGTGACCAGCAGTGCTGCTAATCTTTTCTCCATGACCGTGAAGAGAGGGTCAGCTCGGTCACTCTCAGCCATTTCCATGTTGGATAGATGTCTGTGGCTGAGGGATTTAGGGCAAAGACCACATGATGACGGGGTGTGCTCGTCACAGATGCCTCAATGACTTTGCTCGAGACGTTGAGGTCAGCGACAGGATGTTACTCAGTGAAGGCACTGCTATCGCACAGCAGCAAGGACATGTCTCTGGAACTACGCAAAACGAGATAAAGCAGATGAAGAGGGCTTTTTTTCTTTGTTTGTTTCCATCTGCTGATGTGTCATTGAATCTGATGAGATGTCTTGCAACCCTTTTTTTGCCCTCACTAGCTATGCAGTGATGTTCTACAATGAGAAGATGCTAGTATTTTCAGAATGGATGCAAACAAATGTGCATGAGGATACAAGTAGCTCAATTAGCCTAAAAGGTTCTTTTTGCTTATTTTAGCACTAAATTAGTTGATGCCAGTGTGATCTGACATGGTAATTCCCATGTGTTTTGCATACAGGCTCCTTTTGTATTTCAGTCCCATCCAAACCTCATTGTAATTTATTTCATCATTCTCCTCTTTTAATCCCATGATGGTATGTTCTTCTTAGTTTGTATGGCTACATGATATTAAGTTCCAGTTTTTTCTTCTTCCTTTCTTTCCCTCACACTCTTTGTTTTGTTCACCTGGTGTAGTGTACTGTAACTTTTACCTTCCCACACTTAATACGTTCTTCGCTCCTACCCTTCAGTGACAGATAAAAACTGAGACACATGTTTCCTGTAGTCTTGTCTGTCAATGGCAAATAGAAGTACTGGAAAAGCAAAACTTTCAGAGCTCCTCAAACACTGCAAACTATCCATCAATATTATTTCTTTGTAGTAAATGTGCTCTGGCCTAACACAAGTCCCTTTGGACTGCTGTCTGCAAATGTATGAGACTAACTTTTACTGGACTAAAGACAAATATTCTGAAATTCCAATATTCTGCATACAAAAGTATTTGTGGGGAAAGAATTGCATGTTTTCATGACTAATTCTGCCAAGAAGAGAATATTCACCATATGCCTTTCTGTTGAGTCCCAACTAAACCTCTCTAGAGATCAGATAATTTCAAGTATTTTCAGAGAATCTGCTTTGATCAGTTTGAGGAGAATAAAAGCACTCACCAAAATTAGTATCAGTTATGAACAAGGATATCAGTTATGAACAAGGGTATTATGCAAACCAATAGGTAGATGGCATTGGTTACACAGCTGCATTATTATAAGCAAATAAATACATTCCAATTGTTTCTTGTTCTTATATTGAATTTTTGCATGCTGGTGGTGTCTAGATGTTCAGAGGACAGAAGCAATATTAATTTAACCGTGTCCCATTCTGTGCAAATAGAGCCCAAAGTTCCTGTTCCTGACAGGCAAGATTTCAAGCATTAGACATAAAGATATGGGAGGGTGAATATAGAATAGCATGTTTCCTTTTCACTGTGGAATGGAGCAATTGTCACCTTGTACAGTCTGAAAGCAGGATACTGTTATGAGAGGGAGAGAGATAATTTTAGTCAAAACTCAAAAGACTACAACCACCTGGAGGTGAGGTAGCTTGTCAGTCAATGGTTTAAACTCTAGGAAGACTAGAGATACTGTGGTATGGTTTTAGTTTACAGCAGGAATAAAAGAGAAAAAAATGCCTTTGAGATGAGGACCTGAATTCTAGATTCAGACTGGTGAGCAGAAGGCAGCTAAGGGAACAGAATTTGTTGCTAAGGTGTTTTAATGAGGATGTGTATAAATTTCGGGTAAATAAATTAAAATAATAACTTCTATACTGTATGGCATACACATGAATATAAAACTGACCATATGTATATATAAGGTTCCATTAAATAGGCTAGAGAACTGATACTCGGCTCATTTCTGTTGTTCCTTTGTACTCATTCTTTCACCTCTTTTATGTCCACATAATGCTTCCAAACATATTAATCAGATCATGTC